ACTGTTTATATCAACTGTATGCTATTGATTTACTTATAGCGGTGGTCTTTGTTTTTCATTTGTTTTTGCCACAGTAGAGGTACATTGTACATTCTTGTGGAGATTTTTTATCAATAAATGACCACCCTGTTAGTGTTTCTCCTTCATTCTCTGCAGCTTCTCCTTAGTTTATTCAGATTACCTGGTGATAAGTTGTTCATGTATCCCATTTTTTTGTTTTGGATAAAAGTAACTAATTTGGACTTTTTATTCTTGATTCCGAATTGACTGTATGTACGGGTAATAAATCGTATTTTAGACACGTGGTTTGCGTTTTATTTCACTTTTCGTAATGGTATATCAGGATACTGTAAAATGCATTGGGTGGGTGCGGTGGGTGTGGTTGGGATTTTATGGGGTGGGGGTCGTTGTCTGGAAATTTTGTAGCAGGAAAACTTGCCCTTGGTCTTGAAATGACGTTTGTGAACTTTCCTAGTCTTGAATGAATTCCAAAATAAATAATTGATACAGGACCATTCCTAGCAGTAAAGAAATGCAGTGTTCAAATTGACATTGTTATGCAACTGTTTTTATCCGTCAGACTTAACATACATAATGTGGGGTCAACTGGAATCTGAACTATTTTTATGGACACCTGTCTGGATTCAGTCATAGCGTGATATATGTATACACCTACGACATTGACCCGCACGGCATCATTCACTTCTGAAGATTGAAATTTCCTTTTAACTGCTAAATACTGTAATTGCAGTTTCTTTATTTCAAAATCCACAATTTGATCAATGGATGTAATTATATTACTGGTGCTGTCACTATATTACTTGAACATCTGCAAAAGTAAATATAATGCTTGCGTAAAAAAAAATGAATCTGCTCTATCCAAGGAACACAACAATGTGATGTGTAAAATAATAAAATGTTTACAAATCTAAAATTAAGTTAGGGGAATATGTGTCAAAGGTCATATTGACAAGTTAAATTTATAAAGTCAGTGGAATCTAAACAAGTCTGTGTTCCACTGGGAATGAAAAAAAAAATCATGTTGTTGGCTGTCGCCTTGGTGTTAGTTCCACCACCACCCCACCCCCATGATTTCAAATATTTCACCCTTTAATATAAATTAGTTACTACTCTAAAAACTAGTAAAGTGGCCTTGGGTGATGACATCAATGACAATTGTATTTGATTTGGTGATTAGACATGTGGCCTTCATTCAGTACAGGCAAGTTTTCTGGATCACAATAACCTGTGTTGTTGATCTATAAGTCGGATTGCAATTTTGAAGGAGCACAGCTGAGTCTGTTGTCGGTTTTTTATATTTCTTAATCCATGCATGGATTTAAGAATATTCTTAACTCCATGTTCAATGTAATAGTGATCTGTTATGACAGGGCGAAATTAGACACGCATGAATTAGCCATGGTAGGAGCTAGTACCTTCCATTGAATAGCTGAAAAGTCATTTCCCGTAAATGTCAATAATGGATGCTATGTAACATTTGGTACCATAGAAATAATTTTAGTTCAATATTACATGGATTATGAAAATAAATGAAGGTTGACAGTCGCCATGGCAAACACGTACTTATATCATTTATGTTCTTGTATTCCTCGGAGTTGAAATCGATCACTGAACTTGTTGACAAATGATGTCCCTATTTTAAATCTGATCAGCCCCCAACCCTACGTACCAAAGAGTAACACAAGATTGGTATCTGTGTGAACTATATACCATTGACCAGCTTCCGAAACAAAGAGGCCTAATTAATCAATATCCCCGTCAGATAAATGGAATATTCGTCTACTGTTTCCATGGTCAAGGTTACGACCTACTTATGTGTCCAAGGTCCAGACGTCTGCTTGTTATGTACAACACTGGTGTGTTCTCTGCTTCAATATAAACATGCACAGCTTAAGAAAATGAAACGCGATGATACCGTAGGATACAGAAATCAAATCTCTATAAAGTTTCAATTAAATACGCTTCAAGCATACCACGTTATAAAACG